CTACCAAACCACCTGGAGGGGGTATGCCAAACATAGGAGAAAAGGTTGACCCTGTGTGCTGCGGCATCGATGAGGGACCCGCACCTACAGGGGGATCTACAGCAAATTGCGGCTGCCTCACCACTGTGCGAGGAGCCTGAAGTTCAGCCAGGATTTGTTTCTGGCCTGCCACCAATTCGGCCAGCAATTCCTGCTGGACGTTCTGCGCTTCAGCAGCGGAAAGTAAAGCATTATGCAGCACACGAACAGCAGGGTCTAATGCCGCCTCATCCAGTCCTTCCAAATTGCCTAGCTCCTGTCTTCTACTACCTAGTCTAGCTTTTCTCAGGATTGCTCTCCTTCTCCTCTCTGCTGCCTCGTCCAACTCATCCTGAAGTTCTTCTGCTTGCCGAATTTCTAAATCCTCCGGCATGAGTTGAGTTTGTTGGCTGACTCGCAAGCTAGCAATCTGACTAGTGGTCCCCTAAAAACCACTCTGACTGACTCCTGACGAAGTGGACTGTGTAGAGATTTGCGACATAGCTGAGGTAGCCATGGTTGCACCGGTACTAGCTGAGACTCTAGTCTTGGCACTATCCTCAGTTGCCGCTCTCCTTGCCGCTGCTCTCTCTCTCGTCTCCTGGACCTAACTCCAAGAATGTCAAGGGTCGACTACGGCCAGTCCCGCGAGTAGTCCTACGGTCGTCCACTAGCAACTCCTCCTCACTAGTGCTCGCATCACTCATGAGCTACAGTGTGTGTGATCTAAACTAGAATCCACACTGAATCCTACTTGAGCCTGACACACAACCGATTATGAACCACAACTAATTTCGGTCGGCTGGAATAGAAACAGTTAGGTGATATAGTAACAACTAAAGTCAGGTCCTACATGATATATTAAATCTATTTTTAGATTACCCTGGAACAGATTGCAATACAGTAAAGATCTAATCTGTTTGTAGCTGTCTGTTAGTTGTTAGTCAAGTCTGTAACAACTAGATAATCAAAAATAAAAATAACATCTCCTGTTGGAGATGTATGCTTGATGGCAGATTGTCTGTTGATTGCCACTGCGAACAGTTACCAGAATCCCCCCTCCCCTGTATCCTTCTTGAGTGGTCACTTTGTGTCAACGTTACTGAGCATCTGGTTGAGCAGCGTGTCTAAAGGTGTGCAATCCGGCCCACCCCTGTGCCCCAAGTCATTGTCGAACATGCCAGCCCATCCACTCTTATTTATCCTCGTACGGAACGAGCCTTACACCCGGTTGATCTGGCTGATCAGGAGGGATTTAAGGAGAGCCCCCATCTCCTCAGGAATTATTTAACGTCGCAGACAGGACGACGATCACAGCCAGGTTCAAATCCGAGTCCCCCATCCAGAAATATTTATAGACGGTCTGGTAAGCATCTCATTAAAGGCTGGCATGCCCTGCACGACCTCTATTGCGCAAGCAGCGATACCAAGGACTTCCTGCCCAAGCATGCGTGTACTACAGTCGTCCCCCGAATACAACGTACGATCATTATAGCTGAATTTAGACTGAAAGATACACCAAATTCAGCTATAATGACCGTACATGTATTCGGGGGAAGACTGTAGTCCCAGCGGGTTGGCATGGTGACCGTGACCTGAGTGCTTCGTCCAGGGCCCTTCACAGGCTTCACCCGTCTCCCACCAGCTTGCTGCCCAGGAAGAATGTCGACTCTCAAGGTTGAGCGCTCGCGACACCTCACATCGAGAGGACTGTCAAGACAGAACTCACTTCCTCACGGTAAGAAGAGATGAAGAGGGTAGATAAGGAAGAGAGCAACGTACCTCATAAATGCTGCCCCCAACCACAGATTTCTCACCGGTAACCTGATGTGCAATTATGATGACCGGTCCTTGCCTCGGCACAACCAACAGCAGAATGCGGTTCCACCTCGGCTTAATATGCCACATCAGCGAGCTCTCATCTCCAGCATACATCCCGTATGTCACCACATAGCTCCCTGGCGCGCCCACTCTACCCTGGGCCGCCCAATGTTCAATGCCAATGCCTTATCACTGCCCCACACCTCATGCGAAGCACCAATAGCTATCGCGAAGAACCAATGAAGCGCAATATGAACCAGCTCCGATACCAAATTGCAAGGAAAATAAGCAACAGCGAGATGACAATTCCAGATCACACCATCACATTGAAAGCCATATAGTCACACCGTGTCCAGAGAGCAGCATTGCACCAATAATACACCAATGGAGGTTCGTAGCACTGAAAACCAATGTTCCTGGAGAGCATACTCTCTCCTCTCAACACAAGAGTCCAGTTCCTTCACACTCACACTTGGCGCTCAGCGCCCAGCCTACTCCTACACAGCTACTACAGACTACAAAAAGATGATGCAACTGTTGACATCAGCGGCAGCCCGAAGTACTTGAAGATGTCGCCCATGCAGACCATCGCCAATACAAGGTAAGTGCCCTCAAATCATCATCATCATCATCCTTCACCTATCCCCTGACTACACCCACACCTGTCCTTTCTTTCACCCGAAGACCACCCCTGCGCCTCACTGTAGTCCAAGCCTAGCCTGCTATGAAGGCTGGCTATGGCGCTGCCCTTAGCAGCGCCCTTCTTCCCTGCACGACCGCACGTGCTGCACCTCGCCTCTCAGCGCCAGCCAGCAGCCGCGAGCCTTTGCTCCACCAGCGCTGCCGCCAGCATGCGAGTGCCTGAATGAGGCAGCCAGGGCCGAGCTCTTTCCTTTATGGAAAGAGTTGGTCTGCTCTCGCAGCCTGGCTGCACTGGCCTGGGCCCAGAAGCTTCCGGATGGCCCAAGGAGGCTGCCTGTGTACAGTAGCTACTGGGCTGCTGGGCCTCGTTCGGTTGGGCGCCCAACTGTCTCTGTATGAGGCTGCGAATCACGCCCAGGGCCTGCATTCTTTGGAAAAGCCCGGAGGGCCGTGGAAATGTCTTTGTTGCTCGGCCTGTGTTCCTCTCAACCAACTGGCGCGTCGCAACTGCCTGGACCCCAAATATGAAATTGACAGTCAAGGGCCTCTTGCAAAAAGCCAGGCCCGCCTTCACTTAGGGCAGGCGCCTCCGCCTTCACTTAGGGCGGGTAAGGCTGCAAACAGGGCCCCATAGGCCTACCAAGGACCCTGATCCTCGCAGAAAGAAGTCCAAGAGAACTCTGAGCCAACAGACAGGCATGAGAAAATTGTTAGCCCCACTCAATGTCCCTCTTCAACAAAGATCCTAAAACAGAGGACATAAACATGGCAATCAGCAGACCCCTTACGTTTACTCAAAGATCCACTAAGCATCTACACAGGACAATATGACTGCCTGAGACCATGAATCGCTACCATCATGCACCAGTGCCCACAAAGGTCCTGTCACCTGTGGACAACTGGACGGATGCGGTGCAAGAGCACATGGAGCGACGACCATTTTTAGCTTCGGCCTTATTGCTTATTAACCAGTGCCGTTCCCCGTCTGCAATCAGACTCTTCGACTTCGACCTTCAGCATGCGTACGAACAGATGACCATCAAGCTGGCGACTCGTCGCCCACACAAAGCTCAGAGATAACGGAGCCAAGAACACAACTCAGATTCAAATTTGTCTTGGCCAGCTATGGCCGACACTTGCGCTCTCAACAACTTCTTCGTACACATACACTGGGTCTCCCTGGATGTCCCGACACACACACACACTCAAAGCCAACACCTTCACACACACACACACACGTGCATACTAACACTAACACCTACCTCTGTCTCTTATACACATCTAGATGTGTATAAGAGACAGACACTTGCGCTCTCAACAACTTCTTCGTACACATACACTGGGTCTCCCTGGATGTCCCGACACACACACACACTCAAAGCCAACACCTTCACACACACACACACACGTGCATACTAACACTAACACCTACCTTGCTGACGTGGCGGCTATGGCCGCCGTCTTCCTCCTACACTAACACCTTTCGGCTATGGCCAATCTCCCTCCTCTCAGCCCTCTTCGTCCTACGGGCACCTGCAGACCTCCTTGCACAAGACGCTCAGGCAGCGCTTCCACACTGCTCACAGGCAGAATGCATGAATGAGTTGACGTTGCCTCTTGATTTATACTTCGGGTTGTCAAAGATCTGCCTTTCGGACCCTGGCCCCGGGCGTACACAGACCCACATGGTACTTGCTCACTTGACAAAGTGCGACCGGGACTGGGTACCGCTGACTGGGGAGAGTTAGTCTGCCCACTTGCCCACGGTTTACCTCCTACGACCTACGAAGGTTGCTTCCGGAAGCTCCAGAAGGCTGTCGAGTTGACCCTATGGCACTGTAGCAGCTACGACCTTGACTCTTGGGGACTGTAGCAGCTACAACTCCTACCACTGCTATGACTTCTAACCTACGACCAGACTACCTACAGCAAGCGAACAGACAACTCTCAAGACACAGGTCGTGGGTACAAACATGCGCAGGGCAACTGATATTGTACACGGGTAAGGGCGAGGTCTAGGGATCGAGCCCTGCGAACAACATCTGCTAATGTAACGGTGAAAACTGTTTCACTCCAGAAGGCCTAAATTAGAGGTCCTCTGAGAATAACTCAATCTACAATAGGATCTTTACCTTTCTTCACTCTTTCATAGGCACGAGCTATGTCGGGAGATGTCTCTAGAAGTTCTGTCCATGTAAACAAGCGATCGTCTTCCCGCTCTTGGTAAGAAAATCTGACTTTGTACTGTTTCTGTGGACGACCTCTACCTCCTGTTCTGAACACGTCTTCATCTACTATGCGATGAATGTTTTACCTTCCGTCCATATCCGGAGGGATCATCGATCTCCTCGACGGAAATTGCTGACTCGTGGTGCAGGGTAACTTTGACGAATGGAAAACTGGGTAGGTGTGGAGGTGTGCTGGAATCTCATGGTGTAGGACGGCCCATCGTCTCCGCTCTTGACGTCTAGGACTGGCCATGGTCCTCAATATGCGGGCAACAGCTTCTGCGAGATGTTCTCCTCTGCGTGATGTTCTACTCCGGAGCTCCTCAGGAGCAAACTCTTTAGGCCTGCGTTCCCTCAGCGAACTGACGTGATACAACTGCCTGAACCCCATGGACGAAATTGACAGCATTGGGCTTCTCGTGATTTGTTAGGCCCGCCTTCATGTAGGGTGGGCACATCTGTATCAGGGGGCCCTTAGGCCGGTGGCTGTACTTGTCTGCACCAGCCACCCCAGTACCAGTACCAGTACTTGTCTGCACCAGCCATGCAGTGCGCTACTCCAAAATAACATTGAGATGGTTACGACTAAACTGCTATGGTGAAGAAATAACATTTAGAAAGAGGGGAATGGTGATTCAAGGACCACATCGGGAAACATTTAAGACAAACTATATTTTTATAAGAGGTATACACAGCCATGCAGTGATACGAAACTAAAAGACATTGCTGAGGATTACCTTCTGGAGCAGTTCTCTCTTCCGAGTCTTCCTCAACCCCCATTTCACTGCTATCTTGCTCTTTTCCTGAACAACATGGCATGGATTCAAATAATGCATATATAAACATCTGAATTTGCAAGACAAAAATGGAGTGCACACAAGGCAAGTTGAATCAACAGAATAGCAAATGTGGCTTTGCAGAACAATCACAATTCTATTCCACGTCTTTAGAATGGGACTGAATTCATAATCCATAAATGATCGACTGTTGGGATTGCAGGATTTGAACTGGCAGTCCGCCCCAGTATACTGTATTTGAAGTGTGTTTGTTCTCGTTGAACCAAACAGAGCAAACACTGTTGTGTTGTTTTCATTTACTGTTTTGAAGCTGGTGTGGTGAAGCGTAGACCTGCGGGTACAGTCTCTGTTTGCCTGGCGTAGCTGAAGGACCTTTCTGCCTGGCCGTTTAGGCTTTTTCTTTTGGTAGGCGAACACTGTAGGCCTAGACAAGTAAAGTTTCCTCAAAAATGACGAGTTGGGGCAAAACCCTCATTCACCCCCACAAATTGCTGTCTGAGATTACTGCAACTTCTGAGCAAATGCCATCCTTCTGAGTTTTTTTTCCTTTCTCTTTTGTTGTTGTTGTTGTAAGGACCTGCCAAAACAGGGACTGAGAAAACATCTGATCAGTGATTTCTGAGTTTTGCCGCTGGAATGAATGCCTTGCTGAGATTCCAGCTTTTTGCGGACTTTTCTAACTCCGTGTGTGTGCATGCTTGCTGGTCTACGTGACTGTCAAGAGTTTGTCGGCCCAAGTGTGTGTGTGACCCGCAAGGGCACTTGTCTGTTTGGGAAGCCCTGCTAAGGAGGAGGAAGAAGGGACTAGGAGAGGGGAGCGCCTGGGGTACTTACCTGGGTATGGTGGATGTCACCTTCATCACTTTGGTGGGCGCTACATCTGGAAGGCCCCATTGGTAGAGCTGCATCAAGATGCTTCGAGCCAGAGCCAGACATGGCAGCCTGAGTGAAAGAGGCCATAGCTGCTTTGCGTTGTCTTTTGCACATCAGGGCAAGGCCCTTAGTAGTCCGCCATAGCCTCGGCCTGGAAGAAGAGGGAGAAGAGGGAGAAGAGGGCAGCGATGGCTATGGTGGACCTCTTGTTCTGCTGGCAGTAGAAGTGGGATTCGGACATTGATTCTCGTTCTGCCATCCATCATTATTATTATTATTATTTATTGTTTGAATAATAGGGGAGGAGAAAAGGAGGAGGAGTTTGATTGGCTAGAAGAAGGGGGAATTGCAATAACCCATGCAGTAAGCCTCGTGGAATGTTTAAGGGCCTCGCCAGGCCACCACTCAGACCCAGGCTGAAAGGGAGAAAAGACCCCTACGTGGGGCCTGAGCGGGCGACCAAAGTCAACTTCCCGACGACCAACAGTCAGAGTCAAAACGGACCCAGCCCAGGCCGCCGATCAGACACACACAATTGCTTGTATGCAGGTACCCAGACAGCATCAGGACCAAGTGGAAGCCTGCAACTGTACACAATCCAGGCCCTCGGATGTGAGTCAATCTGTATGACTGTGGGAGGGAGACCTGAGGCCAGACTGCCTTGTCAAACACTACATAATGCTTGGTCTCCAGGAGGTCAACATTCAGTCTTGCTATGCTGCCTTGACGCTGGCTTGACGCTGGCTGGACGCTGGCTCAACGCTGGTTGAACGCTGGCTTGACGCTCGCTGTGCGCTGGTACTGTGGACGACGACGCGGGACTGTGGCAGCATGCTGACGCCTTCTCTGCTGAGCGCCAGCCTCTGCTGATGTGGCGCAGGTCACGTGTCTTCATTGCTGATGTGGGACTGGCCACGATGTCTACATGAGGTGATTCATCGCAACAAGGAGGGAGATCGGGATCTGTGGATGATTGGGGAAGTGGTACTCACCTGAGGTTGACGTCGATACCCTGCACTGCTGTTTGTCTTCATTGTCTCCACAGGATGACAGTGCCACGTGGCGCTTCTACGTGATCAGGACTTGTCAGATTCGTTATTGGATACCGTTGATGATGTGGAGGCGAGGGGAAGCCCGGAGAAGGAGTGGGTAATGTTGGGTTACTCTTTCAGTGGTCATTGATTCTCTCTTCCACCCTCTCCGCTGTCTATTCCCCCTCCACTCTCTTCGTCTATTGGTAACGAGACATTGTATCAGATATCACTTTCACAATTATTGGAGGCATTGCAGATCTGAGTCTTCTTGTTCTTTTTTTTTTTTTTTTTTTTTTTTTTTTTTTTTTTTTTTTTCCCACGAATCCACTGTTCCCTGCCAGTGGCAAGTGGCAACACATGTTTCTTTTCCCATCCCCACCCTGACTGACGACCGGTCCATGCAAAGGGGCATTGAGAAAAGATCTCAAGAGAATTCCCTATGGGATCTATGAAGCCCCCTGGTGTTCAGAGACTAGAGTGACCTCCCGTACCAAGAGCCAGAGTTGAGAACCAGATGCTTCACACCGATCCTGGTTATGATGGACAAGATAGCCAAATTGAGAGTAGGAATTAATTAGTGGTAGGTTGGACGACAGTGACAGAGCTCCCATACAGCATCCTGGTAGGTTCATGATACCCAGCAAAAGTGATGACTAATTCCATGGCTGACATCATTTGACACTTCGACGTCTGACGAGTATCTTCCTGGGTTCATTACAATTTGGTATGAGAGCATACCTCCTTCATCGCGATCTGCTGTCAGGCGCTGACGTGGCACCCAGGTAAGTGGGAGGTGCCGCATGTGCAGGAACGGAACGCGTTTATTAACTCGCGTGGTCAATACCGCATGTCTAGACAGAGTACCGCACGTGCATGCAGTCCAAAGGTGGCAACTGGGTAACCGTTGCCCGTACCCGACCGTACCCAACTGTAACCGGCAGGTTATGGGCAGGTACGGGTACCCTTCCGGAGGGGGCCATCGGTATGGGCAGGCATAAATTTTATTTGTGGATTTCAGGACAGGCACGGTTGCACTGCGTGGAGATCACGGGCAGGCATGGGCGGGTACTGGCGGTGAAAATGGAAAAAAGCAGGTATGGGCGGCCAAGGAAAAAAAAAGCATGGGTACAGCCGTTATAGGGTGGTGAAAAAAAAAAAACAGATGGGTATGGGCGGGTAAGCAATTCTATCGGGTAACCGTGCATAACACCTTCCCCCCCCTCTTCCCAGGAAATATGCAGACCGGCGGAGCTGTTTTTTTCTTAGGCACAATTTTTTCCCCTGGCGCGAACGACAAGAAAAAGATTTCAGGAAATAGCCTCCCAACTTCAAAATTGGCCACTTTCGAAATTGGAAGGCTCCAGCCTCGCCAGGGAGTTCCCCCTTGGAAATCGGCCGCCCGTTGTCGGGCGGCTGCCTACCAGCCGAGGGCACTCCTTGACAAAACATGACTTGTTTTTCTTGGTTGTTTTATTTGTTTCGCACGTTTGATGCATAGGTGCACGAGGCTTGAGGGTCTTTTTTGGGAAGTTTGTTTTTTATTTTACTAACGAACAAGGAAACAGGCGGTCGAGGCCGGGTCGTGAGTCAGGCCGAAAGCGGACCAAAGATCTGAGTTTTCAACGACAAGCGCAGAAAACGCAGGATGGGAGGAGACGCCAATGGTACGAGGGAGAGAACGCTGACAAAAGGGCTTACCGAGGAAAGGGTAGGGAGGAAAGGGTAGGGCCAACGAATACTGGCAGCCATGACTCCTGCCGATGATCCCGGGGAGGGTGTGTGGTCAGCCACGGTTCCAGAGCTTGGGGGGGGGAGCGGCTGTGAAGGGGCGATGGTCAGCCTGAATATGGGAGCGGTCGGCTCCGCGTGACGCCAAAACCTGTGAGGGGAAGCCTCAATACAAAACAGGGTGATCGGAGGAGGGGGAGCAACGAATCCGAATGGGAGTGATCAAGTTCTGATCGATGCGGATGACATGATCCGATGGCCGGCAGGCGAGACAACTGCGCCTCTGGAGTCCGACAAAGCTGATATGGTCGGTGCTCTGCCACGCGGAGGAGATGAAAAGGGGAGATGGTGGCGAAAGGATGATGTGGGGTCCCTATTCGCTAGCCTCAACTGTATCGAATTCGGTTGTGATCTCTGAGTGGCCAAATTCAAGACTGCAGAAGGTGCGCGCGCCTCGAAGTTCTTGATAACTGAACAAGGGCTAAGAGGAGCCGCGCGCGTATTCACGGGGTGACTCATACGGAGGAAAGGACTGCGACCGCGAGGCCTAGAAGGAGGGTGTCACCAGGATCAAGAAGACGCGGATGAGCTAGAGCGGTTAAAGAAGAAGCGCGTGCGCACCTTTCCTGATAACCAAACGGGAAGACGGTGGCCCAAGTATAAGGAACGAGGTGAGCACAACCTGAGAGCGGGAGAGAAAGCCACAGACACCTGAAGGTGGAGTGTGAAGGAAACTCGGTGGATTGGACGGGAAATTGAAATTTTCATAAAAGTTTGAAATTGGCGTCGGGAGAGCTCTACAACCAGCTGAAGTAGGAGTAGAAGGGCAGTGATTCGTCGGGACTGAAAAAGGGAGGATCGACGAGAGAGGGCTCTCGTCCGAACAGGAGTATAAGGAGGAAGACAGGGAAAGAAGGGGGGGGAGGTGCAGAGGCGCACGGATCGATCAGTACGTACGTCGCCAAATGACGTACCACGAGCGAAGTTGGGGGTGTACGCAGATGCGAGCGCTTGTAGCCAGATAGTTCTCGCTAGCGCTCGAGGTCGAGCTAATGACAGTCCGAGAGGGAGAGAGAGAAAGGGGGTTGCGAACAGAAGCGCACGTAGGCGGGCCAGCCGCGCACAGCGCGTTCCATCGCGCGAGTGAAGACCGAGAGAGAGAGAGAGAGAGGAAGGGGGCTGCCAACCGAGGCGCACGTAGGCGGGCCAGGCGCGCACGGCGCATTCCATCGCGCGAGTGGAAGCAGCGAGAGAGAGAGAG